AAACAAATTAGAACAGAAATGAGCCATATCACAAATAATATATCATCAGAGAAACAAATTTTGGGTCAAACATGCTCTTACTACAAAACAGTCCAACTAAAGAAATATGAAAATACACGCCCAACAGAAATAGAAAGGAAGTACTGCAAAAATAAACTAAGTCCATCAAATGACTAAAAGAGTAATTAAGCTTCGGCTTCTTCTTCAGCTCTGTCTGCAAAACACTCCTGCTGAGGATACTCGGACTCTGGCATGTCTTTAAGTTGAACATGTCCGTCCTCTAAGTCTGATGTACAACCAGAGAGAACAGGAGTATGTTAGCGTGTATGGCACACGACAAGACCCCACAAGGAAGAATAGAAATGGTCGAACGAACAAATGCAATAACAATAAATAAAATAGAAGCATGCAACTGGTATTCGAACAGTCTAAATAAAATCCACTACTAGGGTATAACGATCAGAAGAAATCAAAATCATCCAAGTAATAAGGTCACGCAACTAGCCATGCTATAATAGCTCACTGGTCCACATCTTAAATAGGTCAATATTCGTATTACTGGATAACTGATTGTTCACGATCATCTACGCGCATCTAATACTATGAAGCGATTCGCTAAGAGGACCACACACAATCCGATTTTAGCCTGATCTGAACTTCAAGCAAAACTCGGGTGACGAAACGATTTCACTGACCACGTGCGAAATGATTCATTGGCCCAACAGACTAACCCCAGTACGAAACGATTCACTGGTGTGAGCTTGGAAGATAATCAACAACCACATCCGATCATACGAACCAAGACCTTACCACCCCAACATCTCTTGTATTTCTAGGTCTATAATAGATCATTGTTTCACCCCTTAAGTATGGTCAATGCACACACACATGTCACTAAGTCTTGTTCATGATGCGCAAAACCAGTAAGTCATAAACTCCTAACGGTTCTACATTATCACAAGAAATAATAAATACAGCTGATCATGTGCAATAATATCATGGCATATCACATAATCAAAATTAAGAATCATAAATCACGAACATCAACTATGTAATTCAGAAAATAATATTTTTCCAAAATTATTTATTTTAAAATTTTCTCATTATAATTAATCTAAAATAATTCCTTTTCCAAAATAAATTCATTTAAATTATTTATAAATATTCTAAAATAATCTTTAAAATATTTATCACATTCTTATTATTTATTTTTATTATTTAGTATTATTCATCAAACAAACCCACGCAGATTATCACAATATACACGCTACAACATAATCATAACATAGTCTAATATATGCATATAATTCATAACAGATCTAAAAATTTAAATTTGAGAAGCGGGATCTTGCCTATGAGGCTAAGGGCCTGTGGACGAGGCTGCGACGCTGCTGCGGATGTGGTGTGATGGGTCTGAAGCGGAGCAGACCCGAATCTAGAGGGGAGGTGACAACGGCATAGGGCTGGGCGGCTCGAGTGGGGGTGAGTGGGGAAGAGAGGAGAGTGGGGGCGGCGGTGAGCTCGGGGATGGAGGCGACGAAGTAGGAAGTTGGATAAGCGGATCTGGAGGTCGGGATGCGCGTTGAAGGTGGGTGGATCGCAGAGGTCGACGACGTAGGAGGAGCTTGGGCACGGCGAGCGGTGATGTATGTGTGAGCTTGAGTGGAGCTTGGGGCCGAGGGGAAGGAGAGGCGGGTCGTCCAGTTGATGGGGTCTTGATGGTGAAGAGAGAGGGAGAGAGAGACGGAGGTGGGAATAGGGGAAGAGAGAGAGAGAGAGAAAATGAGAGGAGAGAGGGTGATGGAGATTGATTGGGGAGAGGGAGAGAGAGTGTGTGAGCTGGTTATGAGGAGGAGGAGAGGGACATGATTGAGTGGGTGTGCGGGAAATGAGGAGTGATTTAGGGGAGTGGGGTGGGGATTTGTGGTGAGAGATTGGAGAGAGAGAGAGAGATGCAGAGTGGTGTGAGGAGGATCATGCTGGAAAGTGGTATATCAGTGTATGAAATGATACAAATGCAAGTTATAGGTGTATGATACAGCTATTTATATAGAGTAGGTGATACAATGCAGGCTAAAAATAAAATCAAGGTCGTTAATAATAATAATAATAGCAATAATAATAACAATAATGAATAACCAAATATTAATTTAAAAATTTTTCACCGTAATAATTAAATTTATAATTAACAAAACTATTAAAATAAATATAAAACTAGATTTTTAAATCATAAAAAATTCTAGAAAATCAGGAAAAATATAAATACTCTTTAGAAAAATAAAATTTAATATTTAAAATACCAAAAAAATTATTTAAACCGATATCAAAAATTCATGGTCATTACAGTCAAGCTCGAGGACGTGGTGCTTCTGAGATGTAGGCGCCTTTACTGTTGGGAATGTAGAAGGCTTCGGTTGGGGAATCAACAATGTAAGGATCGTGAATTTTCGATATTGATTTTTTGGTATTTAAATATTAAATTTCATTATTAAAGAGAATATTTATATTTTAATTAATTTTCTAGATTTTTTTAATAATTTAACAATCAAGTTTTATATTTATTTGGCTAATTGTAAATTAAAATATCTTTAATGGATTTTTGTAACAATTTAATTATTTTATTATTCATTTTCGTTTTAAATAACAATAATAATTATTAAATATTATTTTTCACTCCTATCTCTCCACTCCCCTGAAAACCAACCCACGTTCCCCACTTCTCATCAACCAACCCCCTGTCACATCTCTCACTTCACCATCTCTCTCTCTCTCATATATTATTTTTGCATCTGCTCATTCTTATCTCTCCACTCATTCGTTCTCTCTCTCTCTTCGAAAGAACCCAAGTCCAGCGCCCCCACCTCCTCCTCTCCCTCCTTCTCTGTTCGACCAAACCCACCGCCACGAACCGCCGCCCAGCCTTGGCTTCGCCGCCGCCCGACGCCAGCGACCCCGAGACCCCTCCCCGAGCTCCACCTCGACTGCTGCCGACCACCTCCTGCAGCCGCCCCCGACACCCCCTGACCACCTCCGCGTCGCCGGCAAACCCCACTACTGCCGCCTCCGCCGTCGCCCTTAGCCAGATTCGTCGACGAACTCAACCGCGTCGACGCCGCTAGCCACACTCGCAGTCGACTCGTCGTAGGCAAGATCTCGCCTCTCCATAGAATTTCTATTTGAATATATATGAACTACTATAATGCACATTATCTCGTATGTTAGATGAATGAAATCTGAGAACAACAGTAGACTATGCATAATAAACAACACTCGAAAATGAATGACTATAGTTGCTTCACAACTGTTTAGCATATCTAAATTTATATTGGGTATATCCTAAGGAAACTTGTATGTGTGTATAAGTGTATAACGAGTGATGATGAACAAATACTATGTATAATCTGTTGATGGTAGCTAATGTCTATATGCTGACTAAATTGAATATGTAATGTTTTGGATTATGTTAATTGAAGTAGTATTATTTAATGTTGAGTAAAATAATAGTGCAAATGTAGTGCTAACAGATTATCTGGTTAGAGCTGAATAAATATTGTACTGTATACACTGCTTATTTGCTAATGTACGACATGAAGAATTAATGAACAGTAACATTTAGATATAATTTTGTTGTAATTATACCTGAGAATGAATGAACATGAAATGATGAGTTATGCATTATAATTAGATTTTTGATATTATCGAAAAAGAAATAAAATAAATGTACTTTATAAAAATAGAAAATGCTACTTTTCATGCGGAAGAGAATTAACAAAAATATACTATGAATATATTTTAAAAGATTATTTTAAAATAGTTATGATGAGAAATAATTAATAAAGAATTATTTGGAAAAAGAATATTTATTTTTTGGAATTAATAAATTTATGATCATGACGATTGGAAATTACGACATTTCATGTGTAATTATTTGATAGTTGTAGTTCCATCTTACCTGTTATTAGTAGTTGTTCACGTTTTGTGTTTGTGATTGCATTTTATGCTTTACGTCCTATTTTAATATATTTGCATAGAAGTAGCCATATTATTATTGTTCCTTATTGTGTTGAGAACCTTAGTAGTTCATGACTTAGTGGCCTCGTGCGTCATGAACAGACTTAGTGACATGTGTGAGTGTGTTGACTGAGTTTAGGTGGTGAACCCGAGTTTTAATGAGGTTTATGGTTGACTTTATCGGAATAAGGTTTGTAGAATATTGTAGCCATCATCAGCTCCATGCAAAAATTTCCCACCATCAGTTCCGTAATAAATTTCCCCACTTAAAAAAACATCATTAATTGCTCCGGGAGAAAGCCTAAAAAATTTCCCACTATCGTCGACGTCACCGACAACGGTCAGCCCGTAGCTCCTGAGGAAGCAGTCCAGCTCCCGCTTCGGCATCGCCTCGTACTGCGCGTGTGTGTACCGTGGGTAATGCAACGACATCTGAAAATAGCTGTCATCGCATCTCTCCTTCCCAAATTTTCACCGCAAGTCAATGCCGTCGATGTCGATGCCGCTGAAAATTTTTGGAGGGAACTAGAAAATCCTTTTATTATGGACTATGTATTTCTTATTTTCTAGTTGAACTGTGTTGTAGTAAGGGTATGTTGAACCCGTATTTTATGTCTGGGATGATCTGTTGATGATATGTTTATTTCTTATTCTGGGTTGTCTTTATATTCTTACTATTGTGATCGGGGACCTGTGACTGAGATTTATATATTTGACGCTTAGCGTATTGGATTGAAAAGCAAAAAAAGAAAAAAAAAATGACAGTATATATATTTCTTCTCAATCTAATACGTCGCGGGCTTGTTCGCGTTCCGATTCCCCGGTATTTTGGGAAGCGGGACGTGACAGGTTTTAGTGGTGGCCCATGCAGGTCACGGTCCCGAGTTCCCACTAGTAAGAATGTATTGGACGATTCAAATACATATCATTTTTCATCCGTAAGACTATAATTAAGTTTTTATATTATTATCTTAATAACTATGTTTTAGTTACTATTTTCCAAATATATTGTTTGATTTTAACCCTAGTTTTCCTTTCGGTCCTCGTTTTCTTCAGAACTATGGTGGGTACTCGTAGTAATGGTAACCCATCCAGTAGCAGTGGTCAGATGCCTGAAGCAGATCCGCAGCAGCTTTTAGCGATGATTCAGGGGCTGGTGACGAACCAGCAGTTCTTAGCTGGGCATTTACAGCAGGAGCATCAGCACCAGCATCCCCCTCGCTCGGAGCCTGGTGTTAGAGAGTTTCGATATATGCGGCCTCCTTCCTTTACTGGTGCCGAGGGACCTTTAGCAGCAGAGGAGTTCCTCAAGGTCACGGAGACTATCCTTAAAGTGACTCGTATTCCCCCTGCAGAGTGGGTAGATCTCATGGATGTTCAGCTCACGGATACAGCTAGAATCTGGTGGGCTGCTGAGAAGACACACCTAGAGAGGCCGATTTTGTGGGAGACGTTCACGGATCGCTTCAATAGGAAGTACTTTCCTCAGTCAGCCAGGGATGAACTCCTGCGTAGATTTGTCGAGCTCAAGCAAGGAGGACGATCAGTCGATGAGTACGAGGCCGAGTTTTCTTCTTTGAGCCGATACGCCCCTCATTTGGTCACGGACCCCACTATCAGGAAGCACCAGTTCCAGAAAGGGCTGGACAAGTATATCAGATTGGCTTTGGCTGGCAGGGCTCTCGCGACTCACGACGCTGTGTTGGATGCAGCACGCGAGATTGAAAGCGTGCAGAAGGAACCAGAAGATTCACACTTAATTCAGAGCAGGACACCAGCAGCTCCGACTCGGAACGTCGAGCGTCCCCCTCAGAGGCAGCAGCAGCAGGTTCCGCAGAGGCAGCAGCATTCACAGCGTCAGCCAATTCATCAGGCTCATCCTTATCAGCGTCCTGGGGTGCAGTTTCAGAGCCAGCCTTCTGTGAAGTGTACTTATTGTAGCCATGCCGGACATATTC